CGGTGAACGATTGGATGGTTTCCTCCTTGCGGAGCAATCTAGTGGTAAAGCCGGTTACCGGTTTTGGAAATTCCAATAACGCCGTGTCGCCGTCTGCTTTTCCTTTATGAAGTTTCACTGCGGTCTCTCAGCCGATCGCTTACACTTTAAAATCGAAAAACAATGCATACACTTCGTTTCGGAGAAAGGAAACTTTACGCTTGCTCGATATTCATTTGAATCTTTTCATCGATTTTGTTACAGTTCTCAAATTTATCTGTCTCTCGATTTTATTTTCGTTTAAATTAATGAAAATAATTTTTGACGATTCAAGAGAAATGTTTGGCGTGAAGCTGAAATCAATGACGATACTTTCGACATTTTATTTGAAATCTAGAATCGAAGAACGCAACAGGATGCAATACGTATCTATCTCCTTAAGTTGTTTTTCTATTAATTTTGGAATTACCTTCAACAACTTAAGTTCGCGTTAAATAAAACACGATTTTGATGATAATCGAGTAATAAAATAATCGCTTTATCGCTAAATTATTCGTCGTCTTTCTTTTATAGTTAATTCAACAGGATATTATCGTTTATAGAGACGTAATCAACTTCCTCTTTCACAGGGTTAGTCTTACATTGCCCAGTCGCTTGGATTTTCCTCTGATTGCAATTAATAGTCATTTATAATTAGTCGCCGTGATGGTTCAGCACTCGTAATCCACAAGCTGTGCCCTCTAATATAAATTTTAATTACATTCTCCGATATTACGTTCAATCTTTAATCCCGCCAACCCGATATCAAACGGTATTTAGCGGCACGACAGCGTTAAATAAGGAATAAAGAATGTATAGTGCGGTTTTACGCGTAACCTCGCCTTCCCTATCGAATTTGATAAAATTGTTTGTCCCTACTATCGAAATATAGACAGAACTTCAATCCTTGGCACAACCAAAGTCAAAGATTCTACTGCGCAAAATAAAACGAGAATCAAAAATAATAAAAATCATTTTTATTGAAAATGATGTTTTCTAGGAAGGTTTCTAGTCTAGAGAATTCCATCTTTGACTGTACTCTGCATTGAATTTGACAGATCGAACGATGAATGTACAAATACGTGTATTATACAATTTTTTGGAAATTAATTGCAATATTCTACAATAGCTTCAACTGTATGGAATGATAGTGTGAAGGCAAATACGCTTTAGAAATCCTTGAATGCCATTTTAGCCGATCAGAAGTTAATCGAGTGCATTCACGATGCAGTGACTCGTAAGGAAAACGCGCAAACACGGACGCGTGTCGTTTAACTTTTTCCGTGAGTTCACCTTTCTCCCCCATACCCCTGACCTTTCCCATCGGGGAACGCGTTTCCGTGTAAAAGACGCGCTTGTAAGTGGATCGTTTGGGGTACGTGTGTCATGTACGAACAAACGCGCTCGTACGTTTGTATCTAGTGAAAACGAGATACCCATGAATCGTGGGGAACGCCCCATCGTTCCTGATGATGCTGCGAGGGGTCGTCACCCCAATTCCCTTCGTACACCACCCTCGTAATTGCGCACTTCGGTTCGGTTTATAATAAAGTCATCGAGCAGACAACACGTTCCAAACAGACTCCCCTTTCTATCAGTGGATCTTGTCGATTTCGTCCATCGATTTGCGCAAAAACTGAGAAGACTCTTAAGAGATTTAATATCCAGGTTTGGATCGAGCTGTGAGCGTTTAAATTTGGTTATATGTTGATATAAAGTAAAGTATATCCAAATCTTTTTTTTTTTCTTTTCTTTTTGGATGCAATAAGGATGAAAGTGAAGATTCTCTCTTCGTTAAAGGTCGTCCAATTTCAACAATGAGTCGTCGTCCAATTTGATCAATTAGGAGAAGCAAAAGGCGTTGCCACTTTGACGAGAAAACCTTGCCCTTTTTTCTTTCCGTCGCTTTCTTCGACAAGGGTGCGAAGACAATGATGATGGTTTCGAAGGACAGAGCAGGAACAATACCGCGGATGACAGCGGGACTCACGATTACAATGTGTCACCGACTGTGTCTATCTACTAATTGCTTTCTCTTGACGGACTTCCCTCTTTTTTTTTT